GTACGTTTCCCCTTTGTGTAAATGGCCGTGTATTTATGACAAAGAAAACAAAATAGGATAAAACAGCGTGTATTATGTCTTCAACTTTGTGTGGGAAGCTGCAATTGCTTTTTCTCAAGCTAAAATTGGTGGAACATGCTGATAAACTTTAAAATTGTCACCACCACAAACTGAACAATATACTGGCAAGAATTGTTTGCTTTGTTATAGTGTCATTAGTATGAAGGCCTGACTTCACGCATATTCCACCCAACGCTGTAAGGGGTTAGTCACGCAAAATAAGAAAAGAAGTGCGTAGACAAATTATTGAAAGTAAAAGTTTTGAATGAGAACAAAGGGAAATTCTTTAAAAAAAAAAAAACACTGAAGAACTCTTAAGAAACACTGAAAAGCGAACATGACTCAACAAAATTGGGAGGGGAGTGCTATTCAAACGGATTGTAATTGCTCTCTGATAAAACCTGAAAAACGTCACCACATATTTTGAACGACGCCATAATGCACTATAGACTTACTGAGTAGGAAATAAAATGTGGGCATGACTATCCCATAACTAATTGGTTGTGAATTCATTTGAAAGAGAAGCCAAAAAAAGTGAAATGAAAAACGTGGCTTGTATATTCAACTTGCTGAGTGTGTGCGTCCTTCACAAACGAAGATAACCACAGACATCCTTGTTTGTGTTTCTTTGCGTGGCCGATCAAGCCAATCTGTGAACTTTTTAGGAGAAAAACTAGGTTTCTTTAACAGTTCTCTCTATTTCTGGGGTCTACCTCATATCTAGGGGTAAGATATTTATCATCGGCTCATCAAGGTGATAATCACCAGGCTTTCAATCTTTCGCCATCGTCACCATATCACACTTAACTAACGAATCACGTCAACCTAAGAGAAAAAAGATCCCATAAACTATGCACCTTCGAGATGTTGGCTCTTTACAAATGACCTGCTTACTTAAATTTCATACTTTTTCAGTTAAGATCGGGCAAAACCAAAAAAAAATTAGCAGAATGAAAATTTTGGTAAACTTTCTGACGAAATTAGAATTGCACTCAAAAAATAGATCAATTGAGAAGAACGCCTTAAAAGACTGTTACATAATATTAAAACATACAGAGAGTTTGGAGAAGAAAGATTGTGCCCGAGGTCCCGCCCCTAAAGAGAGCTTCGTGCTGTTTGTACAATTCCCATCAAGTCATAAATTCAGTGCGGAAGATGAAAAATAAATTAAAGTTGTTTACACTTATAGTGACCTTGAAAGAAAGAAGTGTTGAACCTGCTAATTAACAAAAAATTAATAGTTATCCTCCTGATCGAAAATTCGACTTGGAATAAACCTAAAAACGATCACCGTAAAAACTGAACGTCTGTTTTTATGGCAAAATTCATGATAGCAGAGAATGGAATTTAACCAAAATAAGTAGCAGCCTAATACTTATATTTTTAGAGAGTTAAAGAAACTATTTTCTCACAGTAAGAAAAAAATAACAATTAACGACTTTAATTGTGAAGTAAGACTGCTAAGGAAATAGGAGATGACCAATTAGCTCATTATTTTTTTTGCTGAATGGTTTATAATAATATATTACTTCCATTCATTTTCCCAACACGTAAGCAGGTTAAAATACGCACGTCAAACGCAAACGCTACATGACAATTTTTGTCTTTTAACACACGGAATGAGGAGACCATGTTGAATATGACAGAAGATCTTCCCTTCTTTTTCACTTTTCTTCTTCTTTAAAGGCACGTCTAACCGTGTATAAATAGCCCAAAGGCAGGCCTGTCTAGTTCGCACCCATGTCGCTACAACTAGAAAATATAACGTGGCCGCGCGTGGATACGAATTTCATCTTCGAGTGTTGACAGTACCTCCCACGAGTAAGCAAAGCAAACGGGTAAGATGACATCAACGTATCCTCAAGCGGAAATTTTATGTTCTGTTTATTATATGGATTTTAATGACATATTTTAATCGACAATAATTCAAAAACAAATTTAAAGAGCAGCAGTTGCAGTTATCACCTACAAGATTTACTCAGCCGCAGTAAAGCTTTTTTAACGTACGACATAGAATGAAACAGGGTCTTTTTTACAAAATTTAATCATAACAATAAAAATAATTCTTAAAGAGAGTCGTACTTTTCTTAGTAACGCCTGCAAATCGCAAAAATAAAAAATAAAATAAAAACAAGATTTAAAAAAAAAAACACTTCACAAAAGGTAAACCGCCATTTTCATAAACTCGGTTGGTATTTAACAAATCAACAGTTGTATTTGTCCACTGTTGATTTGTTTTTATCCTAATTTCGACGTCAAATAAGACGATTCTTTTAATGCGTGACCATTACACGTTGACGCAAGGAGCGTTATCACTGCACTCTTGTCGACGGCGAAAATTTCGACATTACTGCCAATTGTAGTAAAAAACGACATCGTTTTGTTGAAAAATATATGGTACATTCATTCTGCGTGCTGGAGATTTCAGCATTACTGTTATTCATCAGCTATATGATATTAGCAAAATTTCTCCTAGCTGGCGCCACTGTTTGCATACCCATGAGTAGTACTGAGTAGCTTAAATTACAAGCGTCCTGTTGGGACGAGTTAATGTTACAAGCTCACGATCGTCAATTCGCCATGTTTGATTTAGAATTAGGGTGTAGACGGTGGGGGAAGGGAAGGGTAGCCAAGAACAATGCAAGTCACACTTAATGACATGCACCAATGATAGAGCGCCAAAATGTATTGATAGCTGCTAATCAATGGGTTATGAGTAATGACTCAATCGCCAATCAAGTATGAGTCAGTCCACTTGACATGAGTAACTGTATGGCGGAAGGTCATCATCAAGGTCACTGAAGGTCATTGAGACAAACATCCCCGAATTTTGCTTCCAGTAAAAACTTAAGAAGCTCCAGATTGTTTGTCAAATTCTCCTCGTCAGTGCCGCAGGAAATGTAAAGAGAACAGTAAGGAGAATATGAACACTAATCTTAGGGTGTGAAGGGTTGTTAATTTGGGTTCCGCTTTGAGTGGCAAAAGATGCTTAGGTTTACATTTGATAGATGCTTTAGATTCTAGAATTTTCATCGGCAGGTGTGAGGCCATGCGAGGGAAAAATTGCTCTTTCGGACGCAGTAATGATAGAAAGTAAGATAATCATGCTGCGGAGAAAAATAAAACAACAGCTCTTTTTCATAAACAATAGGCCACCTGTATATTCAAACAGAGTTAAACAATTGTTCTTCGGCAAAACAAACTCTTAAGCATATTTATATCAACTTACCATTTTATTTCAGCGTTGGTTTATTGTGAATTGGCAATGACTTCCTTAAACCACAGTCTAAAAGGCTTTTTTTCAAAGTATGTAATGATACTTCATATGATTTATCTTTTTTTTTTTTTTGGACCAAATAACACAGGGTAAAGTCTGCATCCAGAAAGAATATCTGAGTAAAAATGTTCTTATCATTCGATTATCTTCATGGTTTTAATTTTTTCACTGATGACGATAGTTTTGGGCTCCAATCTGATGTTTTCTCCCAATTAAATTTTTTGCCAACCAGTAAAAAATATAAGCCTGTAGCAAAAAAAAAAAAAAAAAAGGATTCATCTCTGTCTCTTCGGG